GCCAGCAGGGGACTTAGTTTAACATTGGACCCTATGGGAAATACATACAAATGTCTTCTTTTAGAGTTATAAAAGTGTCATAATAATTCATTAGTTTCTGAATGATTTTCATGATATAAATACACCAATACAAGTTGGCTTTTATTGCAAACATAATTTATATAATAAATGAATCAAGTTTATAAATGCATTATAAGAGTGTATCCAGAAGGTAATTTTCAATAAATAAATCCTGTGTACCATATTTTACTTATAAATGGACTTAGTTTATCTGCCAATTAACATTACATTCACTCTTTGGTTAAAGTTTTTAAAATTTTGATAACTTTCTTAAACTATCCTGGATTTGTGCCAAACTTGGACAGAAGCTTGTAAATGATCAATAGCTAGTAGCTATCAAACGTAAAGCTTGGCTAAAGAACAGTTGCATTTTGATATATTCTATTTGTTAGAATTAATTGGATATTTTTTATATTAAATTTCTAAGTTTGAAAAATTTGAAGTACTTACGCTTTTCTACCTCAGGAATAGATTACCTTAGCTGTATTGGGCAAAACTTTTGAGGATTTTTTTTGTCCTCAATGCTCTTCAACTTCGAACTTTATTTGGCCTTTCTAACTTTTATTGATTCAAACGTCACTAATCGTAGTAGTAGACGAAAAGCGCGTCTGGCGCAAATACAAAATTTCAATCCTGGTATCTATATGATCATGATGATGATTTTATTCAGAAAAATATATTTATCAAAATTTAAAAAAAAAAATGTTGAATAAATAAAAAGAAATTTAAATGACATTTATTCTAATCTATTATTATTATATTTTTTTTAAACTTTTTTCAGAATGTACCAACAATTAAAACTATTTGTTGATAAATTGTAAAAAAAAATAAACATTTTTGAACATATATTTGTTTGTTTTTTATTTTCATATTTATCAAATTCAATACATTTTCCTGCTAAAAAAAATATATCAAAATTAAATATAATATATTTTGGCACATTTTCCTTGATTTAATAGCAGAATATAGTATTTTTTATAAAATTTTACAGGTAAAATAAAAGGTAAGAATATGACTATAATTCAGAAATAAACTATAATTGTTAAAACAACAATCCCCCCTATGTTTACATATGCATGTAATTAAAAGTGGGCAAACCACTGCAGGATGACACCGTTAAACTAAAATAAAGATAATTAAAAGTTTTCATAAATGAAGTTTTATAAAAATATTTATTGTTTTCTATTAGGGAAATAATTGAAAATATTTGTTTTACTTTATTGTTGTTTGTAACTGTTTTTGTATTATTTTCGTTTTTATTTATTTTATTAAAAAAGTTTGAATTTTGAAATTTATAGGTGTCAGTCGATCCCGGCCTGCCCCTACATCGGCAACAACGGCTGGCCTGCCTTTACATCAGCTTCAATGCCATACACCATCATAGGCATTGTCAACGGCTAGTTTCCCCCATCATGTAAAAATTAAGAACCAGCTCTCACAGAGTCATTGTTCTGTTGAGAGTATGGGTCCAGAAGGAACAATTAACTGCAGAACAACATACTACATAACATCTACAATACGGATATCAACGTCTAATTATCTTATAACAATAGATACACAAAAAACAGTTCATTCAAAATAAGAAAAAATGTGTGTTCATGAAATAAAATAAATGTTCTTAAAAATTTTTGAATAGTTATTACGTTCAATAATTTGCATCATGGGATACCTCGTTGCTATTTGATTGGGTACGTACTGAAACTCGGACTAGACCGGACGCCAGACCAAGTTTTTTTTCGAATGAGAATCATATACTAAGTCCCGCAGCCCGGACTCACCGATATTTTTTTCGCCTTGTATTTTATGTTAGCTCGGACTTAGGAGTATATGAAATATATACACATCGACAGAAATGTAACTTAGATATTTTTTAACTGGAACATTTTTTTCCTTTTTATTATCTATCTTTTTGTCGATGACATTTATCGGGGGATCAACGAAACAATTCTCTCTTGCAAAGGTGAGTCCGGGCTGTGACCTGATATATCTCGGACTTGAATTTTAGATACACGCGTGTATTGCATCTCGAAAACTAACTGTATGTAAACTGTTTATTATTATTACGCTTGTTGCCGAGACATTTGATCAAAGATATTATATACATAAAATACTTGGCGTAAATAGAACTATAGGTGAGTCCGGGCTGAGACCTGAAGTTACCCCGGACTTAAGAGTATACAAAATCAATAAACATCGACAGAAAGTAACTTAGATAATTTTAAGCTGGAACATTTATTTTTTTCCTTTTTCCTTTTTTATCTTTTTGTCGATCTGATTATCAACAGAAAATCATTTGAATGACATTTATCGGGGAATCAACGAAACAATTCACTTTTGGAAAAAAAACTTGAAGACCGGGGTCATTTTAGGTCACAACCCGGACTCACTTTTTCAAGATCAGATAAGTTCTTTTATACTGAAAGAAATGGTTCAATCAGATTATTATTTTCATTTATGGAAACTCGGTGGCGTTTTCGGAGAATTCTCCGAACATTTTTTACATGTGCTTTCAAAGTTTCTCTTGCAAATGTGTATACAATCTTCAATTTAACATAAATAAAATTAAGATATATATATTATCATACATCCAATTCCAGTGCTCCAAAAAATTAACTTCATTCCCCTCAGTAGGTTGCACAAAAGGAGTAAATTGAAACACTTTTTTCCCATAATTTACTCAGTCGGGTCCGTTCCAGGTTACAGTGCGTACCCAATCAAATAGACTGCCACAAAAGCAACGAGGTATATCCCATGATGCAAATTATTGAACGTTTTTATTAATTTTTAAGAACATATATTTTATTTTATGAACACATTTGTTTTTTTAATGAAAATTTTGTGTGTATGAATATGTATTGATGTTCGGAGAACATGGCGATTTTAATCGGTTTAATTTTGGCTGTGCTTTGTGGATTTCGGTTATACGTCCATCCATTGCTCATGCTTGTGGTGTATGGTACCCAACGTCAAAATCCGGAACCGAAATGCTAGACAGCTGGCAGTACAAAGTCGCAAAAGTTATAATAAACTCTAAAATGAACTTTCCAAAATGCTCTGTGTTATCAGAGTTAGGATGGGAATCTCTAACAAATTATATGGACCGTCAAAGGATCACATATTTTGCTAGATTAGACTCTCTACCTGGTACAAGATATTGCAAAATGATTTTTACCGAACTTAAGTTATTAAAAAATGAATATTTTAATCATATAAATGGCATATTCCAGTCCACTGGACTGGACCATTATATACATGGAAACGTTAATATAAAAACATTTAAAAAGTTTTTTGGTATTGACGCTTGTAATAAGCTGAAGTCCGAAATTCTAGAAAAGCGAAGCCTAGGTGATTACCGTTCATTTTATGTCACACAAGCACGACAATCGTATTTATCAAATGAAGACGATTTTTGGGCCTCTCGTCTTAAATTTCTGGCTAGAACGAATTGTCTTCCATTGAATGCTGTTTTATTCCGCATGAAATTGAAAGATAGTAATACATGTGAAACGTGTTGTACTGAAGAATCCGTTTTACATATATTGTTAGAATGCCAAGCATATACTGATATTCGAGAACGTTTCCTTTCTGATTTGCACGATTTCCTTCTTAATGCAGGAACCGGCGTGTTTTTCTCAGAGTTGCCTCGTTTTAATAAACTTCAATTTATTATCGGAGACATAGCTTTTTTGTTCGGTGATGATATCGGAAAAAAGGTTGATGAAATGGGAAAACAATATCTAACCTCACTCATTAAAGCTCGCAATGAGTTGTTGCATGTTAATGTCTAAATTATTTAAATGTATGAAAGTTTGAAATTGTGTCAAGTTTATGTGAATATTCATGTATTTTTAGAAAAAGTCTATGTATATATGTGTAATCTTTTAAAAATGTCGCAACGTACTTTTACGGTTTCTTTTATTCACTTTTAACTGACTCTATTTTAAAAGAGTAAAATCCATTTTATTCCTTTTTATAATCTTTTTCAATGTTTACTATAAATGAATGCAGATTTCATAAAGAAACACACAATTTTTACAATATTCCATGTTTTTATTCTTAAAATTGATAAAACTTAAATTTAATGTTCGGGAAATTTCCCAAAATATATGAAAGTTTTAAAATATTAGTGGTAAATATGTATGTGACACTTGTTGTTATTCGGGAAATGTCCCGAAATCATTTTCAACATTATTATTTATAACATATAAAAAATTGTTGGAAAAGCGTTTTGACAAACAGATCTGAAACACATTTCGGGAAAAATCCCGACAAAAATAAACTAAGTACAAAATGTATAACACAGATGTCTTCAAATATTTGGGGATTTATCCCGAAAATCTATGTATATGCTAGAACTCATGACTAATAATTTCTTTCACATTTCGGGAAAAATCCCGAAAATATAAATCTATTATCAGGCACACACTTGGTGCATAGTTTTTTTTTTACCCATTTCGGGAAAAATCCCGAAATAAAATCTACAAGCAAAAATTATGCTACAGATTTCTTAAACATATTGGGAAAAATCCTGAAAAACAAAATCTTTCAGATTTTACAACACAGAATTTTGATACATTTAGAAGGTTTTTATGTAATCATGAAATATAATGTTTGCTCTCTATTGCATCTCTTTTGCAACATGCTATATTTGACTAAGTGCATATTACAGGTTAAACATAGAAAATAAAATTCCATTAAAAAAACTTGTTTTAAAAATTATTTCTTAATTAAAAAGACTAAGATTGATGATAGGTATGGTATTTAATAATGCATATATATGCAATTACTACGCGGCAAGCGCTAGTTAACTAATAAACTCACATATAGAAATACAATCAGGACAATGTTTTATAAATAGTGGTTGCATTAAAAGGAGCTAAAAGGTACCAACAAGATTTGCAGGATGTATACATGCCTATACAAATAAGATGACATTGCATTATTACATTTATACCAAAAAGACACAATAATTTGAAAGATATCAGGAAGTATGCAGTCCTTTAAACTATGTTTGGCATTCTTTTCCTCTTGTTTATCTTCATATCTGTGTCTTTTAAGACTCAAGTCAATTTGTCCTCCAAGATTTCTATGTATCCTACAAAGAAAAGTCAATTCAAGTTCAATATTTTAAAGTCCTTCAGGCATATTATTCATGATTTTTTTTTTTCCGGCATATTTTGTTCTTTCTTATAATCATGATAATGGATGAATTTGTTATCACAGGTCGACATCCTTTCATAGCTTACTCATGTTACTGTATGTCATTTGTTTTGTTCAATATATAATTGAAGCCTTTCCACACTGATGATATATAAATTTTGTTCAGATTAGGGCAGTTGTCTCCTTAGCTATCATACTGCATCATTTTTTCTAATCTGGTGTTTTCCTTTTTTGATATATATATATATATATATATATATATGTGTTACTTTACCGATTATTACCTACAAACAAATGGGGCAAACTGGAAAAGTTTTAAAAAATAAAACATTTTTTTTTTTACTTTTAGAGTTATCATTAGGATTAGCAATCATACTATAGATATCTTCTTCTTTTAAAGGGGGCAAAGTTCTAATCCTATTAATTTAATTATTTTACTTTACCAATAATTGTCTGGAAACAAACAAGGCATATTTAAATGGTTTTAAGAAAAATTTGTAAGGGTTCCAAAGAACACAGTGTAACGCCTGTGATTGCTGCTGTCACTGTAAAAATGACTTTCAAAGTAAGCACAATTTTACTTGAAAAGACTCAACATAATCTAGACTGTACTTAACTGTACTTGACTTTGGTCTACAATTTAACCTAAAGAGTCTAAGAGTACTTGATAATCTTGGTAAAGTCAGAATATGGTCTTGTCAAATGCTCAACCAGTCCCGACCAGTCTCTACTTAGTCTTGACCCAGTCTCCACCTGTCTTGACCTTTAAATTTAGTCTTGACTGGTCTTAAATCAGTCCAACTATATCAATTATGTATTGAACAGGTTATTTTATAATATATGGTTTATTGCTTTCAAACTTAAGGATTTAATTTTAATAGGTATAAAAGCTACAATTTTTAGTTTGAACTAAATTTCAGGCAGTCAACTTTAAAAATTTCTATAACTATTTCAAATCAACTTGGTATTAAAAAAAATATCTAATTTAAAAGCTCACAATCATCATTTTTGCTTTTTAAAGTTTCTATTTTCCATAAAAAAAACCAAACAAACCCATCACTGACAGGCAATAACTCAACTGATGATTTTGGCCATGTGACTTATGTGTAGGTCTTATGGTGTTAATCATTTTTACTATTCAAAGTTTCCATCTCTTTACTATAGTTTTCAATAAGGATAACAACAAAAAAGATGTGTTTTGATTGCCCTTCCAACCCTAATTTATCGGCTCCGACACCAAAAAAGTCAAAAATCGATGTTTAACAAAAAATTAAATGGGGAATGTGTCCATGGACCACAGATGATGCCCCCGCTTGCATATCATATAAAGTTATAAAGGGACATAACTGAAGAACAGTAAAAGTGACTTTATCAAAAACACTTGATCTGAGTTTAGTGGTAACAGGTATTGTGTATAAGTTCCATAAAATTTGGTTGATGCAAACTTAATTTAGAGAACGGAAACAAAAAAAATCAGCAATTTTTCCATTTGCAAAGGGGCATAACTCTAGAAAATTAAGTGACAACTCCAAAATTCAAACTTGATCTGTATTTTGTGGTAATAAGTATTGTGTACAAGTTTCATAGCATTTGGTTGAGGCAAACTAAAGTTAGTGAATGGAAATGAAAAATTCAGCACTGTTTCAATTTGTGAAGGGGCATAATTCTAGAACAGTTAAAGTGACCCCCTAAAATTCAAACTTGATCTATATTTTGTGATTTATAAAAAGCATTGTGTATAAGTGTCATTGCATTTTGTTGAGGCAAACTAAAGTTAGAGAACGGAAACTATAAATATAAGCATCTTTTTCATTTGTAAAGGGGCATACCTGCAGAACAATTAAAGTGATGCCCCCTTAATTCATACTTGATCTGTATTTTGTGGTAATACGCGTTGTGTATAAGTTTCATAGCATTTGGTTGAGGCAAACTAAAGTTAAAGAACGGAAACGAAAAATTCAGCAATTTTTTTGTTTGTAAAGGGGCATAACTCTAGAATGGTTAAACTAAATGACGCCACCAAAATTCAAACTTGATCTGTGTTTTGTGGTAATAATTAAGCATTGTGTATCAGTTTCATAATATTTGGGTGAGGCAAACTGAAGTTAGAGAACGGAAACCAACTTTGGGAAGTATGGAAAGACTTACGTACAGACAGACAAGGGTAAAACTACTGCGGGGGCATAACAAAGGTCTTCCTTATCATGTCCCTAATTTGCACTATTTGTGAACATTAATGCTAATAAACAACTGGCCAGCTAATGTGTGCTGGCAGTACGCTTGATTATACAAATGCAACATTCAAAAAAGAAGATGTGGTATAATTGCCAACTGTCCACAAGAGCCCAAATGACACAGAAATTAACAACTATGCCTGCTTTACTTATGATTGAAAATATGACGCTTTTACTACAATTATCACTTAAACTTGATCCATAAATGATCCATGAAAATAAAGGCATGGTCAGTTTAACCCGTCAGGCAAAAACAGCTTATAATCATTTCATACACAAATATAGTGGCCTTATTGCTACATAAGTGTCTGAGAGACAGAGTATTTTATTTGTGAAACAGCACATTTTGTTAGACATAACATATTTTTGTACACTTACAAATTTTCAAACTTACCTTTCAAATCTTCCCATATTTAGACTAAGAAAGACCTTGAACTTCACAGAGAATTAAATCAGAGACCTTTCTCTTCCTATTTGTCTAGGCTAACTGCATGTCCTATGGATATGTCAATCTGAAATAAGAACAGAATGACATAAGACTTCATGCTGAAAATGTTTATCATCCTTAGCTTTTTTTTTACACATGAACTGCTTGAAGGCACATTAATTAAAAATGGTGATTTGCACTAATGCAGGTGGATATTAGATTAATTTCTATGAAATTTTGTCTATGAAATCAGACCAGAGATATGATTTTCACCTAAATAGGTGGATATTGGATCAATTTCTATGAAATTATGTCTTTACTAAGAAAAAGAACAAAGTTGAAAATAGATATATATAATATACCATTCATTACAAATTATCATTCGAATTCTTAACATGCTTAAGCAGAAAACTTCAAAAAGTATTCAGGAAATACTGGCATCTTATTAAAACAGATTCTACAAAAGGTGACAAATTCCATAAAAACCTATTAGTGAAACAGCTATAAAATAATTTATATGAACCTAATAGTTCCTTCTAATGTTTAACTGTGCAGAACTAATTAATGACATTAATGTAAACAACACATGTAAACTGGTATTCTTATGAAGACACTTCCTTACTATGAAAAACTTAATTCAACCATGAAAGTAAATGAAATATAATACTTCCATGATTCAAACAATTTAAAAACCAAAAAACCAAACAAAAATTTTGGTAAAATATTCTTTCAAGGGCAATAACTGCTTTAAAGGATCAATTGTCAATTAAAATAAGGAAATAATGCAAGTCCTATTCCCAGATCGTGCCGATGTTCTAAGTTTTGTATTTTATGTATGAATTCTGTCTTTCTCTGTTTTTCTCTTGATTATCCAAGTTTTTAATTTTGTACATTATTTGGCCTTTTAAACTTTTGTTATTCGGAAGTCACTTATGAGTCTTTTGCAGACGAACTCTTGTCTGACCTAAAAACAAATTATTAGGGTATTTGTCATTTATGTGTTTATGGCTTAAATTTATTAAGGTCTAGATAGGGGTTCTGTATATCTTTATCCTTTAATACATGTATATTGGATTGTTTTTCTTTAATCTTTTGTTAATTTTTTTTAATCTCTATTCTTCATATTTCATCACACTATTATTCTCTAATATTTATTTTGGTTTCCTACTTTTCCCTGTTTATTATTTTTTTTTACCTTTATTCTGCACATTTTGCCCGTTATTCTCTATTTTGTAAACCCCATCTAAAATCTCATCCATGTCAATTTTTTTTTTCAAGTGGCATACTCATTATACTTGTATGCAAAATTCTTGAATTTTAAATTGTAGGCAATTATCAACTCGTGAAATTCAGAAACTAATTCTTAATACTTTTTTTTGCATTTAAATCAACAACAATAATGTGTCCATAGCACACAGATGACCCACTGGTACTATCATTTTTATATGTTCAGTGAACCATGAAATTGGGGTCAAAACTCTAATTTGGCATTAAAATAAGAAAGATCATATCATAGGGAACATGTACTAAGTTTCAAGTTGATTGGACTTCAACTTCATCAAAAACTTAAACTTGAAGCCGGAAAGACGGATGGAGGAACAGACGCATACTCATGACTCATCAGAAAGCATATAATGCCCAAAGGTGGGACATAAAACATCTATAGGCAAATATCCTTAGGTGACAGATTATTAAATTTATCACTAATGCATATATATATCAATATAAAAAGTTTTAATTGATATATTAGAATTTTTTTAAATTATAAAACATCCTTAGTTTCTGTATGTCTGTGGTATGCAGTGGTAGTACCAGAATTTTCAAAAGGGGCCCGCTCAAACTTGCTTCAGTGTTTCGATCCCTCAAAAAATTAATCAACCAAATTTTTTTCAAAAAGGGGTGCCCGGGCCGTATGTTGCGTGTTGCATGTAGATAAAGTTAATTTTTTTGTACATTAGGGAAGTCTTTTCTTTCTTTTTTGTTTTTTGATTGCTATTTCTATGACGTAATTCACAATTATATAACAATACCTTCATTACATGATAGATGAATGGTGGTTTGATTTTTTTTCTGTCATGAGAACAAATTTATGTATTTTATATATGTTTTTACCAGTGTCTGTAAATTTAACTTTTTTTTATGTTAAAGTAACAGAATCTGAAAAATGAAGGCTAAAAATTTTTAATATTCATTTGTTAAATTTACATGAGGTTTAATGTTATAACTGAATGTACATGAGTCATATTTATTCTGTACTATATTATGCTTGGTAATAAATGGACCAAACATGAAACTATATGATGACATACATATGTATATATATATAGTGTATCCTTCAATTCATTTGACATTTTTAATTAACCTATCAACAAAAGTCATCAAAACTTGGATTCTAGAGACTGATCTATAGTAGTATTAATTAGATGATATGGGATAATTTGATAGAATTTTATGACCTGTTAACATGGTTAATTATTTTCAATAACAGAGATTTTCTCTCAACATAGAGATTTTTATATTTGGCTAAAATAAATAAAAAATTTATCAAGCTAAAGGTGAAATGATCTCTTATAATTGAATTGATTCAAATTTCATATATACATATTTGTTATCTACAAATTCCATCATATATATACAAATACATATAGTTAAAGAGAGACACATTCATTAGCATAGGCGTAATGAATGGAAGTAGCTAATCAGAGGCGGATCCATTTTTTCCGAAAGGAGGACAGGCCTGCTTCATTTTTCTAATCTGTAAGTGTGGGGGTCTTTATCTTGGAAATCTGTATGAAATCAGGATTTTGGGGTCAAATTTGGTTCTGCCCTCTCCAACTTACAGTTAAAAAATGTAGCGGGCATGTCCCAGTCCCCCTCCCTTTTCGGAAAGTCATCACTATACATACTCAACTTTTTCACATTTTAACATTTAAAACAATATTGTTAATATTGACCAGGGCTTGGATACTTTCTAATATGAATCAATTTAAAAGTAGAATGTAGTTCAAGATCACACAACTTGAGGAACAGGATATAAAAACAACGAAATCATATAATATAGGGCTAGTAATGAGAGATGATTAGAGTTGATTCACAACCATGACAGCTGCACAATACATTAAATTTAACAGTCAATGGGTCAGTCTGCTAAAGTACATAAAAACAATTAATTAGTAATATCAACACTCCTGAAAATAGCAAATTATTGTCAGCAATTAAAAACTGATAAGAGATCAAATATAGTTTACAAACTTAAGCTCAATATTTTAAACTTTAATTAAAGAACCTTAGTGAGCGACCTCACATACCCCACGTCCCCACATTGTCACTGGAGAAATAAAATAACTGTAAGAAAAAAAAATTGTATAAAAAAAAAAATTGAATCCTAATTTCCTGTCGATATGCACATCTACCTAGTATGTCCTTATTATCTGAAAAGGTTTCATGAAATTCTGTTGTGTGGTTTGGAAGAGTTGCCATGACAAAAGGTTGCAGTAGTATATTGGGCAAATAAGTTCAAAGGGGCGTAACTCCTGGAAAAAAATTGAATCGTAATTTCCTGTCGATATGCACATCTACGTAATATGTCCTTATTATCTGAAAAGGTTTCATAAAATTCTGTTGTGTGGTTTGAGAGGAGTTGCGATGACAAAAGGTTGCAGTAGTATATTAGGCAAATAAGTTCAAAGGGGCGTAACTCCTGGAAAAAAATTGAATCGTAATTTCCTGTCGATATGCACATCTACGTAGTATTTTCTTTTTTATCTGGAAAGGTTTCATGAAATTCTGTTGTGTGGTTTGAGAGGAGTTGCGATGACAAACTGTTGCAGTAGTACATTAAAGTCAATAAGTTCAAAGGGGTGTAACTCCTAGAAAAAAAAATTAAATCGTAATTTCCTGTCGATATGCACAACTACATACTATGTCCTTATTATCTAAAAAGGTTTCGTGAAATTCTGTTGTATGGTTTGAGAGGAGTTGCGATGACAAGAAATAGGACTGACGGACTGACGGACGGACGGACAGACAGATGGACAGACGGACGGACAGTCGGGTCAAAAACAGACTCCATGATGTAAGTCAAAGACATTTTAAAGGGTGAATTTAAACGATGACTGATGAGAAATTTTACCAAAAATATTTGTATATATCCAAATTATAATTCTTCCAATTTTACAAACAGTTTTTGTATATCCAAATTAAAAATTCTTCCAATTTTACAAAAATTGTAAAAGAAATAATCGAAGATCAATGTAACACGCAACATGCAACATGCAACATGAATACTAGTCAATTTCGCCCGGGCCCACTAGCCCCATCCCCTTAATCCTCCTCAAAATAAAACTTTAAGCAGACCATACACAAAACAGAAAATATAAACATATTATTGGCATTAAGTATGAAATTATTACTTACAATATTTTTTTTCAAAATTCTCTCCCTGTAAGGCTGTATGTCATTATGAACATATAATACTGTGTATTCTAATCCTTCTAATGATTTCACTTTTATTTACACTAATAGACCTACTACCATTATACTTAATTATGTCCATTGAATCAATGTGGTGAGTATATATATATATGTATAATATTTACTTGTGTTTTTATGTTTTTTAAGCATAATACACACAACATGTACAAGTAAATGTGACCTGTTTTTATCCAAAGATCTAGGAAGACATAAAATGAATTTCTCTTTTATCTCATTGGTTACTATATGGATTCATATTGATGTCATGACCTCATTACTTGGACATCATAAAATGTGTAGAGGAATATAAAATGTTGAAATTCATCAAGAATACACTACTCTTATTACTATCTTTATTACTATTGTTTTTGTGGTGATTTTGTGAAGAACCATGCAGTGGAGGAAAACAGTTCAAAGAAGAAAATGGCAAGTTAATTCACTTTGAAGTTTAGATACAGTAATATAAATTATATAAAAAGATAATTACAATGATTCTCTATCAAAAATTTCTTTAAAAGTTCAACAACAGTGTGTTTGAAATTTACACATCATTCCCTAATTAATGCATAATGACTCTATACAAATGTAATTCTGTCTTGAAATAAGTGGTTC